CTCGGACATTTATGTGGCTCAGGTGGCCGTAAAGCGTATAAGATATGCATATAGTATCCGCCTGACAAAGTAATTTCTTCCTCTTTGGGAGACCGTAAATCGCATTTTCGTTTGTCGGTCGATTAGCCTGCAATTAAAGCCTAACTGCCTTAATGATCACAATGATCATAAAGCCATTGAGCGATTGTAAAGACCACACTGAACGAAAAAGGTAAGGACAGATATGACTAAGGGCTTATCAAAAGCATAATTATGGGTGAAAGTCCGGGGAAACTAAATAAATTTTATCAAGGCTCTTCAACAGTTTTGTTATAAGTATTAACATTGGTTTGGTATTGCTTTTTTGTACTATGGGGCGTATACTTAATGTACTGACTGTTTTGGCACTGTTTCTAATCTGGAAACTCTTGCCACTTGAGTTTTTGAAGTGCCACTCGAAAGCAATTCTATTAGGGATATTAGCTTTCTTGATTTTTTTTTTTCAAACTTACTTCCGGTGATCCTGCGGTATTTCCATTTGCTGTGCCATTTGTCGGCTGAACGCCTTTCAATTCCATTTTATTTGCCAGCTTTAAGTTGAACTTTTTCGCGTTTTGCAAACTGATTGACTGTTATTTTGCGTTTTGCTGTTTAATTGCCGTTTTTAATTAGCACATTGCATTGACCAGCCCTTGGTTATGGTTGGTTGGTAACTCCAACAGCAGTTTCGGAGTGGTTCGTCGTTAATGGGGTTTGCTTTTTGTTTTGTTATTTTTTATAGTTTTTGGCGGTGCTGGAGGCGCGCTTGTGTTGCCGTGAATGCCGCGGCTGGAACTGAGAATACTCCGACTGCTGGCCGCTTTAAGAACCGCCAAAGTCAAGCAGCGTTTTGCCAGCGCTCAGCAGGTAATAAGCGTGAAATTATTCTCACACATAGAAAAAAAAAACCAGCGGTAGTACCTACACCAGGTACTGGTGCCCCTGTACTTGAAAAAGGGGGGAAAACTTTGGTGTCGTGCTCTCGCGTGCGTTCTTCGTGCGATCGTCGTAATGGGGATGGGGTTGAAAGCGTCGGATAAGGAAGTACCCACGGAATTGCAGAACAAATTCGCAACGAGTTTACCTAAAAATGTTTGGTCGTTCAACAGAAAAACAGACTGCACTGCAGAAAAATTGCCTTCAAGACTGAGATACGACTTTTTCGTTTTTACAGATCATGGAGGCATTTAAATCTTTAAAATATAGATGACTTAGATAACCATCTAGATAATGAATACTACCCAAAGAAACTGTTTTTCCAACTTAAAAATCCAATTTTAAAGCACAATTTTATCTGTCTAAGGGATTTAATTTTTGGGAAGTCGCTAATCCTTAAAAACTGCTTTATTATTAACTTTTATAAATAATGTGGAATTTAATCTTTGAATAATTGATGATAATAAAAAGTAGATTTGTCTTTAAATAGCTAAATTAAGTAATATTTAAATTTTTGATAAAAAACTGAAAATTTAAGCATAAAATAACTGGCTTTTCCTTGAAACATATTTGCCAACTGATGATAGATAGTTAAACTGCAGAACCCAAGCCTGGTATTGTAAACAATGAAAACAATTAAAGAATACATTTTATTTTTTTTTTATTTTGTCAAATTAAAACTAGTATACAATACTAAAATTAATGGAAAGAAAATGGCACTGGAAACTGAAGTCCTTCGGCCGTGAAAAATACAGTTATGCCTTAGGATTATGTTTTTAGTCTTAGTTTATAAGTATTCAAAAGCTTTAGAAATTCCGAAATCTCTCATATCTGGTAATCCAACTGCCGGCATAAATAGACAATTATTCATAAGATAAATGTTTTCCATTTCTTAATTAACTTTTAGCGTGCCATTTGTATTACCTGTGCGATAACCTGGTAATTTCACGTTTCTATTTTGTAATTTGAAAAGCTAGTAGTGATAAAATTATATTGTGGGTTTGTTTAATGGTATGAGCTTTTTTCTGTGTTTAAGGAAAACCCCAACAGCTGCCAAATGTTGATTAGGTCTCGAAGATAGCTGATAAGACAGCAGATACCCAGATAACCATGTGGATACATGGATTTATCACCGGAGATAGACTGGATAGACATTATACCCAGAGCCCACTGTCCGGCGCTGCGTAGGAAAACACTTGGCTTAGATAAAAACCGGCAGGCGAAATAAACGGTCAGCAGTAGTAAATACCTTCCGATAGACGGACCCGCAGACGCAGACACAGTAAAACCACTTTAAGAACTTATCCGAATCGGCCGTGACTGGCCATTTTCGGTACAGATTAGGCCCTCGGAGAAATCACCCCTAAATGACCAATCGAAAAGCAGGAAAAAACAGAAATGCAGACAAAACCAATTAGGAATCGATAATCGCACTAGTAATTACACATATAGATTCGGGAGAATTCCAATCGACTGGTCAATGAAACTTTTACGATCTTCTTGTTTTGAGAACCGGACCTGACCGGTTCGCAAGTTATAGAAAACTTTGGTCATGGTCGACTCTTACGCAGAGTGTTCTCCTGCTGAGTTCGATATCGCAAACACTTAATATCCGATATCATGTAGCGCCAGACGATCCAATAATGCCGGCAAGTGCAATTTCCTTTTGATTAAGTTCATTGAATCAAGGGAATTGGTTTCAGGTGAATGTGAAATCGGTATTATTGGGGATCGCAAACCATATCGGACTAGGACGATGACTGCAACTTCCTTATCGTATCGCTATAACGTGAACCCCACTTTTGGATAAGAACCCTTGACACTGGTCGGTTAAGTACATAAATTATAAAATAAGATTGTAGGTTTCACATTCAAGGCTGTAAAATTAAGCGATACTTTCATAGTTCCAATACTGAAAAGTGTTGGTAACAATTGGACCACTGAAAGAACTTTTGACCGCACATCCCGAAAGCCACCAAAATAATAACTCTTCACACATTTAATTCTTTTTCAATAATGTTTTATTTTAATGTACTTGCTTTATATTTAGTTAATAACTAGATTTGTAAATTATTCTCACTTTAATGCGTCTATAAATTAAATCTTATTCGTAACTCTTGTCTCTCAGCATTACTAGATAAGAAAAAAAATAGAAGTACCACACACATACGATGATCTTTAAGGGAGGACTCGACTCTTCTCTTGCTATCCACTAAGATTAGTTTCAATATGTGCTCTACATCATGTCTGTTGTGTTTGCATTATCTCTATGTCAGTTAATCAGTTATCAGTTAATCAGTTTATCAACAATTGTACAAGTGACAAATCTACAATGAATTCGATAAAACACCGAGAACGTTGACAACTCTGGCGAATACAAATTAAAATTTGACTTTGAGCTAGTTATAAGAATAATGTTTCGTTTAAAATTAACCAATAATAGTAATATAAGTAGTGTTCCATAGGCTAAAAAGTAGTTTTCTTTTCAATAGAATTTTCAAAGGCGAAATTAAAACAAGGATCCATTAAACGAATTTGCACTACAGTGTGGAAGGCAGCGGGAGGGGGCGAAGTGGGGGGCTCGAGATCCCGCGTTCGCCAAAAACCTCCTTGGCCCCTCCAAAAGTTTTGATCAAGTCAATAATGTTTTAAGATAACAATAAGAATGAATTACTTTAAATTAGCAAATAAGGCGTAAAGTAATTACACACGAAAGATCTATAAACAAACAGCAAAAAAAAGTGTAATAATAATAATAATGATTTAATGATAGCGATAATAATAATAGTAAACTACCGTAGAAGAAGAATAACACGCCAAGTCTTTCATGTTGACATATTAGATATATGTGTGGATCATCACTTGTACGTTATATTAACTAAATTATTTATTTATGACGGTGACGACAATGAGAAACAATGACGACGACGACTATTTAAGCTGAATTGTGATTTATCTTTAAATCTTTATATATGACTTATATATTGTTTCCGTTTCTGACGATCTATTATCAATGTGAAATACATTTGAAATAAAACTATTTTCTTCTCAACAAAATAAATAAGTTTAACATGGTTGGTTAGTGTGTTATTGTGTTATTGGTGTGTTGTTGTGGTTGTGCTGCACTTAGAACAATTCTACCTAAAATTTGCTGCTAGGCTAGACACCCAGAATTGGTAACTGTAAGCGATTTATGTTTGCAACAATTTCCTTGTTTTTTTCGATTTAAGAGAGTTCTTCTTGCATATACAAAAGAATTTAGAAAGAAAGGCATTTAAAGGTTTTCACTCCTTTTTTCAATAGGCTAGTTTTGTTAGCAACAATTATTGTTTTTTTCTTGCATTTTTTGTCTGTCGAAATGGATTTTATTTACAATGGGTTTGGGAACAAGTATCCATTTCTTTCTGCTTAATAGGTTTTTCTTTTTTTTTGTTTTCTTTTATGTTTGTTTGTTGACTAACAATGGCACACACGCATATATAGATATTTAGAATTTGTAACGTTATTTTTTCTGTTTCTTAATGTTTTTTTTTGTTAGGCATTCTGCGGCTTTAGTGCGGGTGTTAATGTGAGGTGAGGGGTTGTTTCTCTTTGAATTTCCTTTCCGATCATTTCCATCTAACTTTCAGCTTTTTGAAGTAATCTTGTACTTTTCGCGGTTTGAGTAGTTTCAGTATGAATACAAACAAAAGTTATGTAATGGATGTAAATATATAGTGATCCTTCAGATATAATAAGTTTTTAAAAAAAGCCTATTATAATATTTACAAATCTCAGCAAAATAGCAACAGAAAATTTAAATTATATCAGGTTTTTCTCCATTTTTGCCAAGACCAATTCAATGTTTTTTTTTCTTTGTTTTGTTTAGTTTTGTTTTTCTCTATATCTGAAGAACGCTTGATATTTAATTTAAGTTTATTTTAGTGTACTTTTGTTTTTGCATTTTGTTAAATTTATAAAAACTATTTACACTAGCTAGTAATGCCTACTTAAAAACTGAGTATGGTAATATCTTAAGCGGTTCGTTCTCAAATCCGACAGTTCTAGCCGATCCGTAGGATGTCCGCCCGCCCGTTGGTGCCATGTGGTCACAAATCATAACCTAGTTGATCTTCCCCCCATTTTGGTATCCAATCCTGGGCTGTCAACAAACAAACGTTTGCCTTGTTTTGTAATGTGTGTGTTTTTGGGTTAGTGAGGTGTTAGGTGCTCTTATTCATATATGCGTGTGTGTAATTTGCGTGTATATGTGTTTTTTTTATGTAATGATTAAGGGGCTCTCTCTAGGCTCAGTCGCATTTTACACCTTAACGAACGATTTTTTTTAGGGGGCCTCTGCGTTTGGCAGTTCTTTTGGAATCTGCAATTTGCTATATTCTATGTGCTACATGCGATCTGCTAAAGCCGCGTCCGCAATACGTGATCCGAATTCGTCACCGCTTTTTTGGGAGACTGTTGCACAAGACTTAAGCTTTTCTTTGTTGCACTGCCAAGTTACTTGATTTGGATTTGAGTGATTGTTGTTTAAGTTTGCTTTTAGTTTTCATTTAGTTCTTGGTTACTAGTTGAGTTGTTCACTAAGGCTGTTAGTCACGCATCTCCACCCACTTCGCAAGGTTTCTGGCGACCAGTTCCTTATTGATAAAGATTACATTCTGTAAATAAAAACAAAAGAGTTAGAAAATTTGTGTTTAAGAATAGTTATACTTCTTTGAAAACAGAAAATTCAATTTGGTTTGATTTAGCAAATGCATTAGTCAGCTGTAACTTTCTTAATTGGCATTAAGCCCTTTGTTTTAATAGATATAAATAGAGGCTGTTTTTCCATTTTTTTTATAGTGAAAATTATATATTAACGTATTGAAATAATCGAACTATTTTCGGAAGGGATATGAACATTGGAAAAAAATACGAAGTGTTTGGAAACAGAATATTAAGAAAATTAAAGATTAATTAAAGTTTACTCAAAAAAAGAAAATAATTGAAACCGCTTTGCCATTATGTCACGTGCTGTATCCAGCTTTCTCCCTCTATGTAATCTTCCCGTCTCCCTCTTATTGGCGGATAATACTCACATTGGGACCTAGAGAAGCGAATAAATAGATTTCTGGTATGTTGTGACTATTATAGCCGGCGACTTGTGCTTGCAAGACAATGCCTTTGGTAAGTTTGTTGAGGATTTCGGCCGCCTCGATAGACCATGTCTCATCTGAAGGTTAAAAGAAAATGTATTGAGTTAAGCAATTTAAATAGTAAATCTTAACCCGCACTTACCGATGGGCTCAATGTTGGACAGGATGCATTCGGTGGCCTGGAAGGGCACACTCATGAAATCGGTGCGGATCTGGCGCAGTGTGCTGAATTCGACATTCATGTAGCCACCAAAGTCGAGGAACTTGACCAGGCAACGCTCCTCGTCCTCAGCATCCGTGTCCACGATCTGTACGCGATACCAAACCCCATTGATGGGTATCACGCAAACGGCACTGATCTCCAAGCTGGGCAGCTGGGGCGACTCCATAGTGGAGTAGCTATCGTACAGCTGCTTCTGCAGCATGGGCAGCGATGGATGCGAGGGATGCAGCGGGTGCTGGATGAACACATGCGACCCGGACAGCACCGCACTCACCACCACATCGTTGTTAATGCCCTCGATCAGTTTCAGCTGTGGGGGAGGAGTTAGCCAAGGCATTAGATATATATGATGCATAGCATATCATGGATGGGGGACTCGAAATCTAAACTTTCCGATTGCGCCGACACGACAGGAACAGTAGTGTAAACCACTTAGAGAAATACAAATACTCTCTGCGTATTCAACGGGAGGAATACTATTGTATAAATCATCAAATCAAATAAGCCAGCTAATCAGCTATAACCATGTCGTGTCGGCGGCATCGTCGTCACCATTGTCATCGTCACACCATCACTCACTTGAAGATTGTAGAGGCTTTCGGTCGAAAGAGGAACTATGGTCTGCGGAAGCGCAAAGTGGATGCGTTGCATGGTAAAGTTGGGATACCGCTTGATCGGCAAACGTTGACGGATCATGGCCAATGCGGCATCAATTTCACTCTCAGTTCCCTCAATCGTGCAGATGCGCACCTTACCCGAGTAGGGACTCTTGCTGAGAGTCACGCTGGCCAGAGTCTTGATCTTGATTTGGTTGATGAACGCCCGCTTGCGCCCGTAAAGTTGACCAATCAGGCTGATCGGGAAGAGGAACTCGTAGCTGGTCTTCACACGCGTCGCCTCCGAACGGGGCAAACTGGATCCCTTGCCGGAATCGCCTGATTGAACGCTGCAAATGCTCAGCGAGGGACTGGCTGCATCCACATTGCGCTTCTGGTTGCCATTATTATCTACCACCTCCTCCTTCAGCACCGTCTGCTGCTCCGGCTCCTGAGACTGTTCCTCCTGGGACGACACTTGTTTGTCTTCTCCTTTTTCCTCATCCTTGGGCTCACAGTTATTGTTCTGCTCACATTCCTTGGTGGCATAATTGGTCTCCAGGAAGGAATTCTCCGGCGATATTTTGGGTGTACGCGTGGCCTTGATCACCACAGGTTCCACCGTCTTTTGGCTGGCTTTACGATTATAAAAGGACACGCGTGTATTTACCGAATCGGGCAAATCACGTGGCGATGACAGATTCTCGAAATCCTCATCTATTGAGCAGAGTTTCTTGTGCTCGGCATCTTGAATCTTTGACTTGAGCATCTCGGAATCAATCTGCTGTTGATGCTTGCCATTTGAAGTGCGTCCATTGCTTTGAATTTTAATAGGTGCAGATTTGCCATACAACATGGTAGTGGGACTATCCTTCTCATCGCTGCCACTTCCGCTATTACTGCCACTGCCACTTCCGTTTCCATTAGCTAAGGTTCCATTGATGTTCATCGACTTACTGACCGGCTGCTGCGGCAATTTGCCATTCTGTACGACTCCGTTGGCCTTGCGCGCCTGCACAGTGGGCTCAATCGAGTCCTTGCCGATGGCCGATGTGTCCTCGTCATCGGGCTTGTCTAAACGATTTTTATTTCTACGCCGAAACCAAAAGACGCCGAGTATAAATGCTACACCGGGCAGTGACAGGTAGAGTAGAGGACGACCGGATACCATTTTCGCTGAATATTGAAGGATCTGAAAAGGTTAGGGACAGCAGTTAATTGGTGTTTTTTTTTTATTTTTCTAATATTTTAAACGATTACTTTTTTCACTTTTCGAGAATTTTATACTACTACTAACTACAGTTCACAATTCAAAGTGATTTTAGATAAAAGGCTTATCAGATTACTTTTAAATAGGTTTTCAGCCTTCTTTGCTTTTTTTTTTTGTATATTCAATGCTTTTGGTGGACTCCAAACATAATGCCAGCAAATGGAAACTATATGGAATTTGCAAACTAAAATAGACAGAACTGGAACAGCGAATTAATGGTATGTATAACACCAATATACAATTTAAGGTGCATTTTTACTAATCCCTGAATTGTTACCAACATTTAATATGTATATTCTCTTAAAATGGTGAACAAATTGTTTTTTGTTTAATTTATAATTGAATGTACTCAGCAAATATTCAATAATTCTTATCAGACAACAATTTACAAAGCGAGTATCGTCGTATATAATGATTTTAAATGCATGTCATGACAAAAGATATGATTTATAATATCTCTAGTTTAAAATTGACTTATTTGGATTATAAAATATATATGTATCTTTAAAATATTAGGGACTTGCTAAAATTTCATTCAATTGGTTTTAATTTTATTTTATTTTTGAATAAGGAAAAACCAACAAAATTATATTTTGAAGAGTATTCAGAAAGTAAAAATATTTTTTAAGCAATCTTGGAAAATGTTAAAATATTAAAGGAAGGATATTAGGGTGTGAAATATCAGAGTTTAAAATTTAAAAATATTTTAAAGATGTAAAGCGTAAGACACCGCATGATTAATTATTTAAATGAAATCTAAAATTAAATATTTGAAAAACCTAAAAAAAGGTTTTTAATTGTTTTTGGGAATCACGAGACCCGCATGCATGTGCTTGTTTGCATAAGTGTGCGTTCGTGTGTGTAATATGTGCTTAGGTATTTGATTTTGGCTTTTTCCTTTCTGAACTTTTGCGTATTTATAGCAACAAATAAATTGTAAATATAGACAACAACAAGAAATGCCGAGAGCGAATGAGGTGCAAAGCAATTTTTGAATGCCACGCGGAAGGGAAAACGCAACGAGAGAGACTGAGAGAGAGCTATACTAAGAGGTAGAGAGAGAGGGCAAGATCGGTAGAAAAGAGCGCGTGCGCAAGAACAACAAGCAAGCAAAAGAGAAAGAGAGAACAAACCGTTACGTTTACGGCAAATGTTACGAAATCATTACAAAACAAAACTAAAAGTTACGAAAACAACACTTTGCCAGAATTTCTTAACCTTTTGACTAAATATATAATATCACTATTTGATATCACTAATTCACTATATGGTCTAAAAACTGGTTCGTAGTTTATTGCAATTTTCGTTTTTATTTTTTGTCGTTTTATGGCATCAATTCGTTTTGGGTTTTTTGTTTTTTTTTTTGAGTCTGTGTGGTGATTTTGTTTTTGTTTGATTTTTTCTTTTTTTGTGGTTTTTGTTTCGAAATGCCGGCGAAATTGTTGGAGATTCGAGATATCGACTGCTCGATATAAGAAGGGAAACTACTTTGCCCGCCTTCTAATTGCCATTTCTTCTGTTTTTTTTTTCGATTCTCAGCTCTTCGCTCCATCCGCTTTTCTTCCTCTTTTTGGCCCCCTTCTCCACCCCGCGAAAAGAGAGGATGCGTGGTGGCAAGAGTTTTTTTTAGCGCCCCTTTCCACCCACACACACATATGCGCCTCCCAATCGGAAATGAGAGGGAGAGCTCATTAGAACAATGAAATCCGAAATCCGTTATTCGAAATTAATCCAAATTCGTCGCAAATGCACATTCAAATTTTGTCAACATATCCGGACAGTGGGCCCAAAATGTGTTAGTCCATGATTATCAGTTTTTAAAAATACATTATATGTAGTACTTCGTTGGAATGTTAAAATTGTATTTCAGTTTTAGATACATTTTTTTTATTATTAACTTGGGTTGCCTGGATAAACCTTATTTAATTGTATTTATATATATATCGGTATCCGAATTTATTAAATTATTTAATTTTACAATTACAACTTTCACAAGCTAAAGAGCCAATATTGCGATTTTTGTAAATTTATTTTAAGTTTGCACTGTAGTATTAAAATTTAAAAAATATTGTTAATTTAAATTTAGTATTTTGTGAAAAAAAAAACATTTTATGAAACAAATTATCTACAAATTGATAAGACCAATCGCCAAACAACAAATAGCGTGAACAAACAGGGTGCCAAAAGGGGGTTGGTGGGGGCCATACGATTGGAAGGGGCTTCAATAGGGTGCTATAAAATATAAAATGCCCATGGAAGGGCAATCGGCCAGACAGCTGTGGCATTTCCTAATCAAAAAACCGGGTGACGGGATTTTTTCAGCTTTTCTTGTATACCCTTTGCACAGAGTTTATTAATTTTTGTTATAGATTTGAAACTTGGTTTACATGTTCAATTATGTTTAAATATATGTACATATTTAATGTTGATCATTAGAGAGCAAAATTAATAAACAAAGTAAAAATCTGATTTCTTTATTACAAAAATAAACGTTTGTAATTTGCACAAGTTGTTGAATGTAAAGTAGATGATTTAGACCCATACATATTTACATGGATCAATCATACTAAAATTAGATCCCTATAGTTCACAGCTGCAAAGTTGTTTATAAATACAAATTAAAAGACCAAATACGGTTGTTTCATAAAAAAAAATTTAATAGAACCAAAACAATGCGTATTTTTACTTATACTTCTTAGTTGCCTTTTTTTAACTCTACAACGACATTTGTATTAAAATGGTAGAGTATCCCAACTTATACTTTTAATTTCTTATACTGTAAGCTTGTTTACACATGCATATTAATGTGTGTGCGTGCGTGTCTTGGCATGCAAACAAACATGTTTAGGCATGTTTTTTGTGTTTCTGTTATTTCTGACTTTGAACTTGCATTGTTGTTGTTAGAAACTCGAATTTCCATGTGGCCGAAAGAAGAAGAGGAAGGGGAGGTGAAGCAACAGCCAAAAATTTAAATTCCCCTTTAAACTCCGAAAGAGCTAAAGAGAGCTACCAAAAGAGAGCATCAAAACAACAACAAGCCAGGTGCAACAACAATTGCCAACTAGCCGAAAAAGTCCAAGTCTTGGCAACGTGGTTTCCGATCATATGGTGGCCAAAAATGGGCGGGGATTGTATAACCGGGGGATATATATGTGGGACATATATATTGTGGGAGTGGCTGCTCCTTCTTGGCTCTCTTTCTAGCAATGAAAATACCGAAAATTAACGGTGAAAGCTGTTAAAACATACACGCATACTTATGTTCTCTATTTTCTCAATGTGTGTGTGTGTGATGGCATTGTGTAATCGTCGAATTTAACTCCAAAATTTTCCCTTTGCCACCCACTGTCACTTTGCCGGAACAACAACAACAAAGGCAGACCAATACACTAAAACAAAAACTAAAAAAAAAAGGCAGAGAGATGGGGGAAAAGAAGAAAGGACTACAACAAAGAGCTCTAGACAAGAACAGTGTAAGAAATCCGCAGAACTCCCCACATGACACCATTTTCCATCTCTCTGTTTTGGCAAATTCACACACAACGCACTATTTGTACTAGGTTATGTTCCGCGTGCTCCGATTTCTTACCTCTTGCAACCGCTTGGATAACTTATTTTGCTCACTATTAGTGGGTTTTTTGAATAATATTTAGTGTCACTCGCGTGTTTTGGTAGTCTATTGCTTTATTTACTGTTGATTTTCCTGGCTTTCTCAAACGTTAGAGAGCTGCACGAATTAAACACGTGTCTACGTTCCACCTTTTACAAATCACAATAACATGGCCGGCGTGCGGCAGTGTTGCCATCTCTCTTCGAATTCGACTATAAAGGCTGCCGCCTGTCTGCCAAGTCACGATTCGCGTTCAACAAATTGCTCAATTAAAACCGCCGTGAACTTCATAAACACTTTTTGGACTAAATTGCTTTCGAATTGTTTGCACAAAGCCGTAAAACGTGTGTGGAGTTGGGCATCGGATCGAATGGCAACACATGCACGGACAGGGTTGATAACGCGTATCGACCGCTATCGATTGGTAAGAAACAACTCTAAAGTGGCAGCTGGTAGAGCAGCGTTGCCATCTGACTGCTAGAAAAGTGTTGGTAAATTTGAAATCTATCGTTTGGATATTTATTGGCTTTGGTTTGATATTTTCTTGAATACAATTTTTAAATTATACAAATAAACCATTTATGTCGATTACGAAAATTTTCTTTAAAATATTTCAATTTCCTTTAATAAAGCATAAATAATATATAAATAACATTATATACATCAAATTGTAACTTTTTCAAAAAGTAATTACCCATTTCAGCTTCTATTTTGTTTTATTTTTAAATCATTTTTGGTAAAAAAGTCCACATAAAAATTAATTTTGCATTTTAAAGAAATTTACACATTTTAAATGCGAAACTTAGTGAAATATATATTTATTAATTCAAGTCGATTGGTTGTTAGTTGTGATTTTAAGAATGTACTAGTAAATTTTAAAGACTTGCGCCATCTGGCAACTCTGCAACGACATATCGATACTATCGCGCGAATCACCCATCTCCAGCTGCCATATTGTTTCCTGCCAACTTTTTTTTTCGTTCTTTCCACTTTTTAACAGCAACTGAGGTACAGCGACATTCCGTGAAATTACTGAGCATCTTTTTTTTTTATGTGTTAAATGTGAATCATACGGTTGAAAGACAAGCCGAAGAGGCTAAACCACCCAAACGTTTGCATTTCGCGCATAAGACAGCAAAGAAAATCAAATTAAAAACATTTTAATAAATTTAAAATTTCGACCCGCAGTGAAGATGGCAGTGCGTTACGAGCTGGCAATTGGTCTGAACAAGGGCCACAAGACCACCAAGATCAGGAATGTCAAGTACACCGGCGACAAGAAGGTCAAGGGTCTGCGTGGATCTCGCTTGAAGAACGTAAGTTTTGCACCCCGGAACACTTTGTTTGTCCCGGCCTTTTGTTTACATGAATGGTAACCCCCAACTATATCGCCTACAGATCCAAACCCGTCACACCAAGTTCATGCGCGATCTGGTGCGCGAAGTGGTGGGCCATGCTCCCTACGAGAAGCGCACCATGGAGTTGCTGAAGGTGTCCAAGGACAAGAGGGCCCTGAAGTTCCTCAAGCGCCGTCTGGGCACGCACATCCGTGCCAAGAGGAAGCGTGAGGAGCTGTCCAACATCCTCACCCAGCTGAGGAAGGCCCAGACCCACGCCAAGTAAACGGATCGAATCTAGCGAGGAATCCGGCATCGGAAAAGTACAACGTACGCGGTAGTGTTCATTTTTTTTTCCGGTGCGAACATATAGTTATACCATATATGTCGAAGTTACTTGAGAGCGAGTCTAAGCATCCCAGAATTAAACAACAAAAATCTTAAAAATCGTACTCACCACCATGTGTTTATTTTTTTCGAGTGCAAAGGAAGCTAACCTCACAAATGGCCAAGAAATTGTGGATATATAGCTTAGGAAATAGTGCAAATATAGCTTTGAGGCTTACCTCCCCTTAAAGTGGGTAAAAACCAATCTAGACACAACGTTCTAGAGTGGAAAGGAGGATCACCGATTGCTGGAAGGGGAGAAACCTATTTGGAAACTTAGTTCTCCTCAAAAGCTACCCAAAAGGTTTAAGCTCCCACAACAATTTGCAAAGACGCGTGTTTTTCAATTAAGAATTTATATTTATATAGATTTCTTATTGCAAATTAGATGGAATAACTCTCAGCTTATAAGAGACCAATTTAAACCATTATTAATGTTTAGTTAACTGTGATTTTCAATAATGATTTACTGCTAATATTTATACCAACCCAAACTAATTACAAAGATTCCGTACTGCTTTTAATTAAACTTCTGGACCTAAAAAAAAAAAACTTACCAAAATTGCAAGGCTAAGTCATAAGCAAATAAAAGGTAAATAGAAATATCCCATTCATTGGGAAGCAAAAAAAAATGGTTATTAAAAAATTAAAATTCTAGGAAGAACTTTTATTTATAAGGTCCAACTCAAAACTTATTAAATGATAAAAGAAAGTTTTCCATATAAGATAAAGCAGTCAATTGTAACATTGGCTTACTACAGAACTTCATTGTAAATTATGCATAAATATTACTTTTTTTTAATATCAGAGTTTCATTCGCACAAAAAGTTTTCAAAAAACAACAAAAGACAGTTTTCGTTTGGGATTGATTTTTTTATTTGCTGCACACCTTAAACGATAAAGTTGCTACTGGAAACTGTCAAATCGCTTAAGACTAAATGACAAATGAATCCCGATCCGGGATGGATAATGCAAACCTCGCATAGACATTTTACATACAGGGGCGCAGGAACGCACATACAATCTAAAATAATGGTTACGGGGATATGATTGTACAGAGTCAATGCATTTTCCGGTGACGACATAGCGCCCATTTTTGATATAAGTCGTGATTTACTTTTAATTTGCAAACATTTTCACTAGCCCATGTAAAGCTTGATCAAAGTATTCTTAAATCTCAGAAATGATCATGGGTTTTATATTGGTATGTTAATTTCATTGCCTTTAAATGCAAGAGAACAAAACTACAAAGTTCGGGGCAATAAGTTTAAAGGGTTTGGGCCTTATGACCTAATAAAAATTGTAAATAAGGCCCATGGAAGTTTTAAGTTAAGGGGAAACACCACTCCAGAGCTTTTAAAACTGAATAGCATCTCAATATTTTGTCAGAAAAAGGAGATTATTATAAAAAGCATTCTGTGTTAACAAAAACATGCTGGGTTTTGATCTTAAGAATGAACACTAAGAAAAAAAGTAGTTAAGTAGTAGTAGCTTAAAAAAACTACAAAAATATTAAAAACGAGTCATAAAAAGGACGATAGATATTTAGCGAGATTTGAGGTGTTTCGGGACCGAAATAGAAGCAGTTAGAAAATGCTCCTATACCCTAAGGCAATCGACATTACTTAGTTCTTAGAGTGGCGTTACCCTTTGAGCTTACATACTATGATTAATATTGTCATGAACATCAGCCCAAGGGCGTTATGACATGTCACCGCATTTTCCTATTTTCGACGTAGGTCTAAGTGGTTATGCTTAAACGTTAGGGGGCACACGAGATCAGAAGTGTTGGCTGCTAGCTGCCGTTGGTTCCGTTCATCTCGATTCCTCACAGCTCCTCCGTTAGGCTGGGCAGCGAGATGATCACCTCGCCCATCAGCTGCGCCTCGTGCGGATCATTCGAGACGATGATGCGCTCGAATTCGCTGTTTGTGGGATCCACGATCTCATAGCAGGTTCCCGAGCCCGGTTTCAGATCAATCTCCAGCGATACATTCACCTGCGGCGACAGTATCTGCTGCGTTACCTCCAAACTCTCAATGCGCGTCGTCTCCAGGCGATAGAATCCGTTCTCGTCCACCCGGTAGGTGAATCTTTTGTGACCCGATGGCAGCCGAAAGCCGTGCTTCTTGATCAGATGAGCGGACAGGGATTTGCCGCTCTTAAAGAAGCGCTCGCAGCAGTGGCAGGCGTACAGGATGGGATTATTGCCGTGAACCTCTAAAAAATGCTGTAAAAAATCAGCCGTTTTATTGGTGTTTTTTTGAGGTTGTTTAATCTTACTGTAAACGATGGTGGCTAATGTTAAAACAGAAAACAAATTTGCTATCATAAAATCAAAATTCACAGCTCAAAAAGATCTAAAGCGTTTTAAATAAAAACGAAATCGATATGGATAAGTAAACTAGATTTCTATGCTGCAAGTCAGCCGCCTCATCGTTTAGGGGATCAAGGGATTCAGTTGGTCGGTGGCTCACCCTTCGCATCTGCGTGTAGGTGCGCACGGAGTAGTGGCAGTCGGGATGCTCGCACTGGTGCACCGTCTTCGAGTGGACGATCTGTACGTGCTTGGCCAGATCCGATTCCCGGACGCAGCGTGTGTCGCACTCGCTGCACTTGAGCGGCTTGTCCTTCAGGTGACGGTAGCGGATGTGAGTGGTCAGCGAGCTGGCCGAGCTGCAGGTCATGTCGCACATTGTGCACTTGTAGCAGTTCACATGGCGCACTAAGTGGCTCTTCAGAAGCTTCTTGGTGGCGAAGAACTTGAAACACTGCGCGCACTGGAAGCTATTCGCTGCGGATAAGAATTCAAATTTTAGCTACTTAAACATATATAATATTTAGATAAATACTGCCAGAGTACTGCGATAAGGACACAATGTTTATCCTAAGATAAGGGTTGCACTTCCTCATTATTAATACAAAAATCTCAGACAATATTTCATATATGTATGTACATTAAAGAGGGGTGTTTACAATAATCAATAATAAACTGAACAAATAAATCACCCCTATGGTCACCATTGTGGGTTAATATCATAGGTTGAAAAATCAATTTTTGCAAGATGGTATGTATATAAAATTAAACAGCATTTAACTTGTGACTTAGTTATCATTAATAAGGATTTAACACTATTTGAAGTGAATTGACAATAAATAGGCCTTAAATACTGAATTGCTTTTGCCAGGAAGTGGATTAAGATGTTATATTAAAGAACAACAATGGATGTATTAAAAACAAGATGCTGAAATGAATGGAACTCTGCCAACAAAATGATTTATACGTCTTATAAAAGGAGGTCAATTGCCTAAATGAAATGAAAATTGACCCGGAAAAAGATAGAATGAATAAAATTTTAGGAACCCTTTGGGGGCACTCACTGTTGTTCTCCGGCTGCCGTCTCAGATGATCGAAGAGCGTGGTCTTGGTGCGGAACAGCTCCCCGCAATGGAAGCAGGCCACCTGCTTCTTGTTCGAGTGGGTGCTGATGTGCTCGATGAGGCGGTACTTGTTGCCCATGTGCTTGTGACACATGGTCCAGTTGCACATGGTCTTGGGACGTTCGTCCTCCGGGGTCTTTTGGATGTCATACTCGAACAGGGCGTGCTTGACAATGTGATCTTGGAACTCCACGATGGAAACAAACTCCCGTTCGCAATCCGTCCACCCACAGCGGAAGTTCTGGCCAAGTACGGGTAACTTATCCGTCTGGCGAGCAGGAGCAGTGCAGGCGGGGATTTCCGGATGCAGTTCGCACTCCAGTTTTCCTTGCAGAAGGAGATGAAGGTAGTACCCGTGATAATACGAATGCCGCTCGAATTCCACTAGATTGGAGGTGATAAATTCGCAGGTGTTCCATGTGCACTGGTGCTCATTGTGGTCGGCATCCTCCCGACCATCCTGATCCCTGGCATACTGCTCCAGATGCTCGGCTATGTGGCTATTAAGGTTCCATTCGCCCGTGCATATCTCCTGACAACCGCGCCATTCGCAGGTTAATTGCAATTCCGCGGGCTTCTTTCGTTTTCCCGGAGGTTGTGGCAAAGGCATCGTAGGCTGAGGTCTTAGCATGTCTATTTCTCGAGGGGATCTGTTTTCCTAATCCCAGTTATGTGAAAATTTGACACAATTTGGGGCGGTTTTTAGTGCGAAAAGCAATTTTGTGGGAGCCCAAACTAGCGATGGTAGTCGCTCGTTTCGATACCGTGACAGACCGTGCGATATATCGATAGCGATAGTTGAAATTTTCAAAAATAATTTGAAATTTGTTTTTTAAGCAATATTAAAACTATTTTAAAATGTTTTCTTAAGGTATTTGAATTTTCGATTGTTTAAATTTGTTTATTGTACAAAATTTTTATTGTCATAAGCCATTATGGACATATTGTGCAGATCTTAGGCTTAGGTAACATTTATCAAAATTTCAGAAATTTTAAAAACATAAAAGAAACGTGCAGAATATTTAAATTTTGTTGGTCTTGAATAAATATAAATAAATGCATTTTTAAGTTATACATTGACTTTTTTTATGATTTAAGGCTACATTTGAAAGAATTTTATATTTATTTTTTGGCAATTAAAAAAAAAGAATAAAGACTACTTTTTGTTTTTTAATTATATATATTCCTTTTATTAGATTTTTTGGGTTTTTGTGACCATAAATTCTAAATAGTTGTAAAATATTTAGAAATGTAATTTATTTGAAGTATTCGAAATTCATTTAAAGATCGAGTGATGTTTAAATCATTCTAATATTATCCTCTCGAAAATATTTTAAAATCTTTATCTTAATTTTAGAACCCCATTTGGTGTATGTATCTTTATGGTCATAAATTTATAAGTTTTTCTAGTTTTTCGGCTCAAAACATAATTGTAAAAGATTTATTTATAGTTGAGCGATAGTTGAGTTGAATTGATTTTGTGGTTTTCCCCTCTACATATCGATCCATCAAATTGAACAGACTATAGATTAAAGATTAGTAAATATATTTCATTGGGGTAGTTATTAATAGTCAGAAAACAACCCTCGCAAATATGTCTGATTTGCGGGTGAAAAAGATTAAGAAACAAACTAACCAAATAAATAATGCATATATTTTTCAGATGGGATAAATATTATTTTGTTCACTCATGTTTAAAGATTTTAAATGATAGTCCAACAAAAAGAAAACAACTCGGTTAGAAGTAGACCTTCAGATCTGGCATAGATAGTTTTACTTATTCAAAATCGAGATGCTTCAGCTTAAAACTAAGGATAATTTATGGATAAATGGTTTATTTTTGACTGCTAATTTTTAATTTACAAATATATATTGCGCTCGAAAGAGGTGCACACCTTGAAATCAGGAAGCAGGCGTTTTTAGCCCCCTTTGGAAGCTCAGCTGCCTGGTATAGTTATACATATATGGTTATATTGATTTCCCGAAACCTGCTTTACAATCCCGGCATTACGTAGGCGATATTATCTAGAGTGTCGGCTAGGTTTTTGCTAAGCTGAACTTTGTTCTCCAATCCGGGTATCTGGGTGGTCATACAGAGCAGTGGTCCCATGGCGCAGAGCAAACTGTCAAGAAGTACGGATAAGCTTCCTGATAAAGCCACATGACCATTGTGCTTCTTTAGACGCTCGCCAATCACCGTGAGACTTTCGCCCAGGAGTTTCAAGTGAGCTGCCGCATCGATCACCTCGATGCTGGTTTTGTGGGGCTCATCTTGTTTTGGGTGACCTCCAGTCCGTCCGCCCACATCCGCATCCTCTGGCGATTGCAATATCGCCGCACTCGTGGATGCCTGCGACCTGCCACTTCGTGTGTTAATGGTGCGTCTCGGGGTGGAGGAGCTGCTCGCCGCCGCTGCCGCAGCCGCCGCTTCCAGAGAGGATTGCTGGCGATCGGCGGCCAATTTACGAGTGCGACTCGTCGTTGCTCGATTCTGGAAGATCGTCTCGTGCTGCGGGGGATCCAATGCCAGTGCTGTGCTGCCATTGCTCGTCGTCTGGGGCGTGCCATTCGGTCTGGCCCTGTCCCGCGAACTAGCCCTTGACGCTTGGATCTTGGCTTTGCGCCGCCAGGTGTTCTTGTCCCGATTAGACACATTCGCCCATAGCTCGCTGAGGCGTCTGGTGGCGCTGGTGTAGTCTGAAACAAATTTTATAACAAATCGATAATTACTAAATTACTAACTATCTGCAAGTCAGGTACGACTCTATCGATTTTTTGTTTGTATATGTTCCATGTCAGTTTGCATGTCTTACAAATTTTTGCAAGGAGCAAGAGAAAATGTATTCTAATTTAAGATCACTGAAATATATAACATATATATGTTCAGTCATATATATGCTTGAAGTAAAGGTTATTATTTCTCTTTTACGAAGTTTTAAAATAAAGCATAACGAATCGCAATTGGATATTAATTTTGATGTTTTTTAGAAGGAGCTTGGATATAATAACGTAAGTTTAGTTATTTTGTGTAGATATTGGCGCCAAAAAATTCCCAGCAAATTATAAAAAAATAATCATATGTTAACTCAGTTTTGGGGAATTAGTGCCTTTTAAAGTCAATCAACATTGGTAAAAATTTTACTCTTCCATATCACAAAACCTACCCATATCCTGAAGGTCTCTTTTGCGTGCCTCCCTGGCCCACAGGCTGTAGGCGGTAAACCGCTGCTTGCCCTTGTCCTTGCGTTGCACCTTGGTGGTGACCACCTTGCCGTCTTTGAGGACTTTCCTCTTGTTGGCCTTCTCGCGCATGTAGAGGCTCTGGCGGATGGGCGACTCCTGGCTGGTGGCTTCCGCTTGAACGCCGTCGACGAGATCCTGCACCAGGTTGTCCAGTTCGTCGTCTGAGTTCAGGATGGGCACTGCTGTTGGCGTTTCCGGGTGAAATTCCTCGCCATCCGACATATTGGGCTCATCGAAGAGCATCTCCTGGTCGGGTTCCAGATCCCGCAGAGCATTCGAAGGCCTGCCACGCCCCGAATACTTGGACGGTTGCCTTCCGCCACTTTGGCGCCTTGTACGCTTCTCGATCTCCTCCGGCGATTCAAAATCTAACAGTTTCGAAGACTTTTTGCGTACGCGTCCACTGCGAGAAACGCCAGTCACCTGGAAATCTAAGCTCTCATTGGTGACCTCGATCCTGCTTGAGAGTAGCACTATTTTGGACTTACCTTTGGCCACCAGGTGCGAGGTGGGCGACTCCATAATTGGCCGCAATCTCCGATTCCCGCGATTTGGAAGATTTGTAATTTGTTGTAAACGACGCAAATTGGAAGCCAGTAAACAGCTGATCGGTGTGGCCAGAGCAACAGCAGATATATCGATGCTTCTGGTGATAGTTTAATGGTAATCATTGTAATCAGAAATAATTTTATTTATTATATAAATTTAAAATTTATTTTTTAAGTGTAGGACTTGAGCATTAGCTGCTAAGGTGAAATCAACCCCAAATAATATATCTAACAGAATTTTAATTATCAGTTTTTTGATATCGCTTGTATAAAAATTACAAAAAAATCTACCCAAAACTGCAAGCCAAGTTGAAAACACAGATTTTTAGAGAATTAACCCACAATCATTTAGAAGTATGCCACTTTAAAATCGGATCTCTGTAAGAAAAGTTATAGGCTTCCAAGGGCAGGTTTTGGGTCACTTTTCAGCATAAGCCATTTTTCCGAAAATTTGGAATGACGAAAAATCGACCCCAAAACACAAACCAAACTGAAAACACAGATTTTTAGAGAATTAAGCCACGATCATTTAGAAGGATGCCACTTTGAAATCGGATGTCTGTAAGAAAAGATATGGGCTTAGAAGTGCAGGTTTTAGGTCACTTCTCTGCAAAGCCATTTTTCAAAAACTTGGAAAAATAAAAATGACGCAAAAATTGACCAAAAAATACAAACCAAGATTTAAATATAGATTTTTAGAGATTTCAGCCACAATAATTTAGAAGTATTCCAATTTGAAATCGGATGTCTGTAAGGGAAGTTATAAGCTTTAAAGAGCAAGTTTTGGATCAATTTTCTGCAAAAACATGTTCCGAAAATTAGGAAAGGGGTTACATTATAGAAATAACGAAAAATCGACCCGAAAATACAAACCAAGTTGAAAACACAGACTTTTAGAGAAACCCGCAATCATTAAAAAGTATACCACTTTGAAATCGGAGTGAAGTGCAGTTTTTGTTCAAAAGGCAAAGAAAACTTTTTAAAAGTTAAGTATGGCTAGTAATTATATTCATATGGACTATAGGTTTTTAATTGATTTAACTTAATTTAATTTACTTTTTTTAAGCAATATAAATATTTATTACCTACCTATTACTATCGCTCAACTATTTGCTCTGACAACTTCAGGCCATTCTCCCGGTAGTCAGTATTTGGTCACACTGCCGCACCTTTGTTTTGTTTTGTGTTTGTTGTTGTTGTGAGTGGAAGCGGCTTTTGCTTTTGGTTTATTGATTTGATTTGCACCTGACCGAACGAATCGCATAATGGCACGCGATTCTCACCGCTTGTGAGTCGCCGGTGGCCCCCAACCCAAGGACATTTCGGCCCCCAAAAACCCACCATATTCGTATTTGGCGACCCGCACCCGTTTTTTCATGACCAAAACGGCGGCTGCGATTCAAACGCTATTCAAACTGCAAAACATTCGCGCATCGTCAATCAATCGAAGCGGTAATACAGCGGCGTTACACATAGTTATACCATGTCGGGGGAAAGCCTGCGGATTGCCAAGGGCAAAGGAGATGAAAGAGGTTCTGGTTCTGGATCTGGAGCAAGTGCATCCGAAACGGATAATGTGACCGCCCTTGAACTGCAGTCCAACAAACGCATGCTTTACTTCAGTGATGGAGTTATGGAGGAGCTATCATCCAGCGAGGACGAAGCGGATGGGGAATTGGCCGACAAGTGCTACGACGTCCATTTGAACGAGGTACGTCAGCAGGAAATTGGAAATAGATACTCCTAAATATGGGGAAAGGGGTAAAACTTCCGGCCCGCTCAGTTTATAATTATCCGAATCGAGTTAAAAAATAGTTCGCAGAAGCTTAGGAATGTTTTAAGGGGAAAGATTCTAAGAGAAACTCAAGAATTCTCATCAGCTTTTAAACTAAGATTTATTTCCTAGAATTAATATTCGCGCAATAGAATAGTTGACTGTTTGGATACAAGAAAATAACATTTATATATACATATATTATATATAGCCTTTAATACTTGATTAACAATTAAAAATGATTAAAAATTGAATACAAAAAAAATCATAATTATAATGAGAAGGCATGATAATGTTTCATTTATATAAAATGCATTTATATAAAATAAACATATAAAATGCATTTATATAAAAGAAACATTGCAATGTCAATAACTTTATTAGAAGATATAAAAGTATTGAACAATATCATTTAAATGCATATCTCTTAAGAAATATGACTTTGAGCTTTTATAATAAATAAGTAAGGCCCTGGGCAATGGAGATAAGGAGCTGGTTACATATCTCACCCACCCGCTGACCATTATCGTGACTCACCTAACCTTTTTTTCCAGAGCGAAATGGCGTTGGGACCACGCCTCCGGTACAAGGCCAGTAGGATGGGAAACCGATTCCTGGCCGGAATCGACTACGTGGGAGGTGGACTGGCCCACCTCCTGGGAATCACCAGCAGTAAGTATGCCAGCGAAATGGAGAACTACCATAGGGCCAAGGAAAACGGCGACGAGGACCTTGACAATTGGCAACCGCAGGCCTTGTCCAATAATAACAACAACAATACCCGGAATGAGACCATCGTTTTGTGCGGACCAACACGCAGTGAGGCGACCTTGCCACCCACTCGGCAATAGGCGAAAATCCACCCAATCCGACGGGTGGGGTGGGATTTCTTGCCTGAAGAAGGAAAAATGCTCATGGAGAAACGGCGACACTTGGAGACTCTTTTTTACTTGGTAAAACAACCGCAAGAAACAAATCAAATCAAATGAAATCAAAGAAGATCTTAACTTTTCGACACTTTATTCGCTAGCAAATAAGTTACATATAATAATAAAAATACACATACAAAATACATATACAGTTAATTATGACCCATACGATTCGTACAGTCCGTAGTTTTATAAAGGTTTTGTTAGTTGGACAGTTAAAATTAAGCCTTCCTTTGTTTCCGTTTTTAAGCAAATCTTTAGGGCCTTGAAATTGCAAAAATAATATTTTTATTTTTATTTTTTCCGAAAATATGTAAAACCCAAAAATATAATTGTCGATAGGATAAATAGATTGAAACAACGTCTTAGTGCCAAATAATGAATTGTAGTAAGGAAAAGGGTTCAAGGAATACCTTTAAAAATTAGAATTGTACCCTTTTACAAAAAAATCAATTTCAATCCCATAAAGTTTGTTTAAAAAAACGGATTTCACAAGGCGCTTTTGTGTTTTTGACTTGCTCAGTTAAGTCCCTAAAGTTAATGGCACACTGAATACAATTAGGCATTACGGCTACGATTGCAATTGCGTTTGTTTTTTCATTTGTTAAGTACACTTGTTTCGGCATCAGGAGAAGAAGACAGCAAAGTAGGAACCAGGTTTTTTGGTCCCTGGTGTTGAAGACATAAACATGCGTATCACAGTATTTGGTTGCTGCGTGTTTCGTTCTCAAAAAAAAAAAGTAATATATAAAAAATGCTATAAATGTACGCACAGGCGACATTCAGTCTAAATGTCTAAAAGGCAAGAGTGATTATTTGATTTGGTTACACCAAAACGGCAAAAAGGCCACACAAGGGGCAACTAATTAGGAGCAACATTAAGTACACACGAAAATAGGATGCGGCCCATCTAGGGCAATTACAATACATTGTGGGGGTTGGCTAGATGACCTATGACCTATCGTTGTAGGCCTACATTAAGAGGACATTTCCTGGGTTATATACACAGTACATAGTTTTTCATTGTGTTCTACGGGCAAAGCAACTTAATTTGGAATTTTGTGCAGGTAAGATACTATAAACCTTAGTCCGTTTTATAGCTAGCAAACCCCACCACGTTAAGTTATAGTACAAGACTGACTTTGGCACAACAGCTGCCGCAGGAACACTGGAAGCCGGGGAATCCTCCCCACCTAGAGCAGCGTCTCATCGCCGTAGTGCTGCAAATGGGGATAGTAGCTTCCATGTTGGCTGTACTTTTGGGAGGCATAGCTACCCGGTGGATAATACAGGCGATGCGAGGATGAGGAGTGGTGTTGGTGATGGTGCTGCTGCTGCTGCTGGTGATGATGATGATGATGATGCGGCGAGTGGCGCTGCTGCTGCTGATGATGATGATGCGTGCTCCTGCCCAGCGAATAGTTGGACATCTGATTCAGCGATATGGAACCAGCACCCGGTGAAGTCTTCAGCTTGTAGGGACTCGGCGGCAAAGGTGCACTGGCCATCGAAGGCCGCACCGAATGGTAGGAGACCACTGTACTATTACAAGCCGCGTGCGATCCCCGCGAGCTGCTGTGACCGTCCAGATGGACAGATCCTCCTCCAGCAGTCGGCTGCTTCACCATCTTGCCATTGCCCACTTGTCTTTTGTAGAGAGTGGAAATGCTGGGTCCGAGGACCCAGGCAAAGCAGCAAATGCCCAACATCAATTCCATAAAGGCGCGTACCAAAAAGGGCCACAAAGGCGTATTGGTATCACCCGATCCCAGCCAGACATCGATGTTGGCGAACTCGTAAATAACTGCCAACAGGAGCAGAGCACATGCCAGTCCATAGATAAATAGGAATATTCCTATTCCGGAACTACTGTGAGCACTCAACTGCTGGAGTTGCTGCTGCAAACTCAGGGCATTGCTATTCCTCAAGATCTCCTTGGTGCGACAGTGTACCAGATAGCCGGAGATCAGATTCATAGAACCAAAGATCCAGTAGCAAAAGACGGGCGTCGCCACCAATATCTGCAGAGCCTTATCAGACTGGTTGCCCACAAAGCAGGCGCCTGAAAGGAATTAGGGTCAGCATTTTTATGCTATTCTTTAAAGGATCTATGACCAATCTCACCCAGCAACTCATCAGCATCCACAAAACGAGCCACGATCACAGCGGCCGTTTGGAAGGCGGGCAGTCCCCAGGCCACGAAGCAAACAAAATTGTTCTGCGACAGATCCTGCTGAGCGGTCTTGGCATTGTTTCTCTTCGCTGGACTGCCAGCAAAGTTCGAGGGAATGGACACATGGCCCTTGGAGTCCGGACTGTGCCGTCGAATGTCTCGGTGCCAGCCCAAACAGAGCACAGCCCACCTGGAAAATACAATTTTCGTATGTTATTAGATGTGAAAAACTTTGAAAAAACAGGGTATACTAAATCAATTTTTTAAACTATATGTACATATGTCAAACGAAAAATGCAAGCAAAAGTCTATATAAACCTTGCTGTCATTACAAAAAGGGATTTTTCTGAATGTGGGATCCGTATTTCTTCAGGAAATCATTATGATATCTCAACATTATATATTTGTTATACTTTGTGTAATCATGAAGTAAAGTACAGCCACTATATTAATATAAAATTAACATTTCTTTCTTTGTGGCCTGTTATCTCAGAGAGTTATGCGCATCTCACAATGGAACTTGTATGGCGCACCAAGCTCTTTGGAATGTAAATAATAGATTTTTTTAATCCAAATAAATATTTGCGGGTCGGCCAAAAATATGATAACTGACATTTTTTTAAAGTTGCGGCTATATTTTGTGTTTGAGTAATGTCAATAGCTGCGAAAATTAGTTTTTAAGTATTATTTTTTTTAAGCCACGAAATTTAAGTTTTAAGTAAAGTAAACCAAAATATACCATGGCTATATCTGAAAATCATTATTAAATACTGCAATAACTTTGTAGAAATGGGAACCATTTTGAGACCATTAAGGCAAAGGATCACTCATATGATATTGGTTTATTATTATGTATATAGCCTATAACTCTTACCAGGCACAGGCGGCCATTCCGAAGTAGTATCGCATGAGAAACACACTGGCGCAGGAGGCATTCGAAAGTCCATCCACTGTGAGCAGGGATTCATTGGGGGCCTGGGGATCCGTGCCACAGGCAGTGCCAGTTCTTCCCACCACAAAGCGCACTGCCCATCCCAAGGTGACCATGTTGTGGCACCAAATCAGGGGGGACAACAATCTGGACCACTTGGCGCTGGCCAAACGACTTCCGTCGCTGGCCAAGAGACATACGGTGGCCACCAGGGCCAATCCCAGTGCGGCATAGGCCCAAGTGGAGACCCAGATCTCGGCCAGGTGCTTTTCCGCCGGCGTAAACAGTATATCAGCCTCACAGAGAGGAGCACATCGTCCCGATCTCGGCAGCCTTACATACAAATGGGATTTGGCCAGTCCCGAGCAATCCAGCGGCAGTTTCCCACCCAATCCGCCAGGTATACCCTGTCCTGGCAGTCCATAGAGGTCCTGATCCTCTTGCGGCTGATGCAGTTCGCCAGGGCCCTCCATGCACATGGTTTCGTGGTTATTCTCCCGCGGAAACCGATCGCAATCCAAGGCGGGTGGCCATGGGAAGCCGAAGCCCTGCAGAATCGGATGGCAACGTATCCTCACCGACTCACAGAGACTCCGACAAGGACCTATGGCATGTACGGGCGCTTTGGGCGTACACATGGGCACGTAGGCGGCGCACAGGAACAGTTTCAACTGGGAACTACAATCGTATTCTATCAGAGGAGCAAATGTCTGCAGGGTGTACTCCACATCCGCTTGCATCTCGTGACCCACGAGATTCGGCATGGAGGTCTCGTTATAGCCGATCTTTCGGCACATTTCTATGCGAATGGCCTCGCACTGCCGGAATGTGGGGATTTCTGGTGGGGAACTGGAACTGGCACTGGGATTACCACTGGATGAGGTCTTGGTAATGCGGGGATACAGAAGGATCATCACCAGGGGGTATATTATGTAGGGAGGCATCTTCTCTTCGCTTCGTTCCCTCTTTTTTTTTCAAAGAGTCCGATCTTTCGGGTTCTTTTCAAAATTCAGAGCTTGGGCCTTTTTCTTTCTGAAAAATTTAAACTTTGTTTTTTTTTCTGAGGAATTCAATATATGAAGTTTCTTCACTTGTGTTCCCTCTTTTTGTATTTTAAAGAATTCGAACGTGGGGGTTTCTTTAACTTTCGGTTCCTTTATTTCGTCTTCAGTTGGTGTTACTTTCCGAAGAATTCAATCTTGGGGGTTACTTCGGTTGGTTTCCTTCTTTTCTTCCCGAAGAATTCGAACTTTATGCAGATTCTGCGTTCTTCAGTGGAACGCTGGAAGGGGTAACCTGTTCCAGGTTCTTGCCTTCCCGCTCGCCCTCTTCTTCTCTCTCTTTCCAATTACTTCCAGCTCTCCTTCTTTCCAGCTTGTTATTGTTGCTTTTGGCTTGTCAACTCGTTAACTACCTTTTTTTCGGCGTCGTTCTTGTTATCGCTTCTCCTCTTTCCCCACCTCTTTCTCATTCACCTCCTTCAGCGCCTCTTTCTCCACCACTCCACTCCACCCCCCACTGTTCTTAGTCGATAAACGGGTTTTTTCCTCAGGGATTAACTTGAGAATTTTCTGGTAAATCATTAAATATTTTACAACTTTTACTATATTGATATCAAAAACTCTATTACTAACAGTAAGTAGTCAAATTGCACTTTGTTTAAAAAAAAAACAACTAATTTACTTCGTAATTCATTATTTTATTGGAACATTCTTTTTTCGTTGTTTGTTTACGCGAAAAGTGGGACCAAACTATAGTTGTTGGGAAAATACCAATTAATCGATCGATGGCAGCGCTGATTTCGATAGGTTAATATTATGATATTGATAAGTGATAATCGATTTCACTTTAAAAGTGCCATCTGTCGGGATTTTATGTGACTACTGGAAAGCTTTTAAAAGGGCGCACTTTTTAAAGTAAAAATTTTCTTAAAACTTTTTAATTTATTAGTGTTTATTTTAACTGATTAAAAACAAATAAAGATGTCTATAAGACAAATAATAATTAAATGTGTGCCATTAGGTGTGAGTTAAATATAGATTTTAAAAGGAATTTTTGAAAGAAAAGTTAATTGTATGTATAATTTTGAAGTTAAACTCCTATTAAATTAAAAATATACTTTTATAAAATGTATTTTGTTATAGTCTTCCTAAAAAACGGAAGCTTTTAACAGCTTTTAGTCAAGCAGTAAGTAAGCTTTGGCAGGGCTTTTCAGAAGGCGGGCTTTTCAAAAGCGCAAACTTTTTTTAACCTATATTTTGATTTTTTTTAAATGGTAAATAATTTATACTTAATATATATATGTATATATTACTAAGTTTCAAAAAGCCACATTTACTTGGCGGCGCGCAATGTCAGATTTTTTGAGTGAAATAAAAACATAAAAACCATAAACTGCATAATAAAGAAGAAAATTAATGATAAAGAAAATTATATTGTAACAAAAGAATTCAATGAAAAGATTTAATTACTTTAGTTTCAATTACTTAAATTTGTGACAGTTTAATATTTTCGAGTCAAATCAAAAGCTACTGTCAGTGGAATTCCTATTGCTATTCCTACATTGATGTTTGTTCTTTGGTCCGATTTGCCATCTCCCTTTAACCTCGAGTTACCCTCTCTTTCGCACACATATTCGAAACAGAGGCCACGCCCATATATTTCAACCCCCCGAAGAAACACGTAACATGCTACTTTTATGTATGGAACGTGACAAACACGCACATGTGTGCGAAAGAGAGGGGCCGTGGTGGTTAGAGAGAGACAGCTGCTGAACGTTTATGTATTTTGCAGGACCCGCAGGACTCGTGTGAGTGTGTGTGTGAGCGATTTTGTTGTTGCATAACGCACACGCGCAGACGTTAAGGCACATATACATATGTGGAAAGGATATACAACAAACACATCCTTGCTGGCTTTTTCGCAACTGCCAACTAATTACGAAAGCCAAATGAAAGTTTTCAACTTTACATCAATTTACTAGCGTTCGCTAGAAAGCAGATCCAAAAGGATGCACAAAGGCAAAAGGGATTTGCCATTCAAGAACCATATAGTGGCATATGAAATAAAATACTCATAATCCGATTCGCTAAAGTATCCCAGTTCACCTCTTCTGCAATATCATTATTTTGTACATATTCGAAGGGTACGTTCCGAAGTACACTTTCACTTTTCTGCTGCAGATTTAGAACAATTCTTGCATTTTTATTTCACGCTTCTTTTCACTCCTTTTCATTCTTAAATAAAGTTCATTTTCTCACTCTCCACTTACCCCACATGCCTATATCTTTTTATATATATATAGATTCAGCCGCCTGCTGCGGGAGGTGTAATAAAAGGCTCCAGAGAAGTCTCTGTTCAAAAAACGAAAAAGTAAGCCGCATTCAGCACAGTTATGCCCAGGATAATAGGATATAATTCTATATTTTTAAAAAAACATTTCCTTAACATAGGCAATCAAATTTAGCACTTGAAGAGGAGCATAACTTACTCAATCTGAAATTCAAACTTATGTTTTCAAAAGCGCCTTTAAAATAAAAATCATTTTCATTCGTGTAATATTTTGTAGCCTTTACAAACAGAAAAATTCATTTCTAAATAATTATGTTTATAGCACTAAATTTATGATAAAACATGGACGAAACAGTTTTATGAGACTAAAATTGTATTAAAAACGCAGAGACATATTGTTATATTCTTCATCGGATTAATGTTTTATTCAGTATTTAAAATACAGGTTGGAACTTGTTTTAATGCATTATTAGAATAAAACAATTTTTATTTTTTTATTTGATTGAAATTTTTTTCGACAGGTGTTTAAAAATGATAGAAAAATAAAGTGATTGATTACATAAGTGAGTTAATTTAAAGTAACTATATTATATAAACATAATTCCTCGTGGTGTTTGAATTTATAGAGAAATAAAGTGATTGATGATTTAAGCGAACTATGTAATTTCTCTAAAAAAGTGACTTATGGTGTGAACAAAGTGCGGCATTCCTTATGCAGTCGCAACTGGCGCCAGCAAGAAGGGAAATTCCGGGGGGAAAATGGGGAAGGTGTGCGAAAACCATGGCCCAGGACCTCAGCCAAAGGAAAAGCCAGTGGAAAAGCCGGGGAGAAAGGGGAGGGGGGGGAGCGGGAGGCAAAGTCGGGGAAAAACTAGGAGCGCGTTGATGCACAAAAGCATTTGCTGCGTGTAAACTTGACTTTGAAATTTGCCTCATTTGCACTTGCCGCTGCATTTTGCACCTGCCAAGGATATATAAAAGCCGGATTTTTACATAGGGCCTTCTAACTGTTGCATGCCATGCGAGATGTTTGCCCAAAAGTGTTTCAAATGGATTATAATAAAACTGGTTAAACTGGGGCTATGCGAATGCGAATGAAAATGGAATCTTCAATCAACTCGTTAATGAAACTGCCCCGAAAACCGGTCACAACAATTGGAAAACATATATGAATTACAATCTAACAATATAACAATGGAAACAAAATCTACATATAATATATGCAGGCGCGCATATAAATTTCCTTGTAAAGGACACAAATAAAAAATGCATAGTATCCTTGTGCAAAGGTCGTTGCTACCAGGTCGCCATGTATATAGTACTCGTTCACCCAGCAGATATACATATGTATATGCTTACACTTTTGCCTTGCACTTGTCACATTGGTTTTCCCTTTTTTTCGCGCTTTTCATTTGGCTTTCAAGGTGTGGGAAAAACAACACGGAAAATCCCAAATGCATTACAGGATTTCACGGGCTTCCGTAATTTAATCGCTTTAAGATTGCATTTTTACTTTTCGTTATTATTTCGCGGATTTTAAATTGTAGCGGTGTTTAAATTGAAAACTTAATGAAAGGTAAAGGTTATAAGGGTACACATGTGGTATTAGTAGATATTAATATTAAATACTACACTTAAACCACTTAACATTCTAAAAAAAATGTTAATATTCTGTTTTTTTTATCGCTTTAAGTTTGCATTTTTGATTTTATTAATTTGGGAGGTAAAAATTAAATTAATTAATTTCCAATTAAACATTAATAAACTGTATATCAAGTGCCGTCGGCAATAATAAAAAATTCAGTTTTCTGGCTTCCAACTAAAACTAAATTACCTAAAAGTAATTTTGTAATTAAATAAGTAAACTAGTCAAAAAAGAACTTTTAAAATAGTACGAATTGATATTCATATTCATATTATATTCCTAAAACACGTTTATTTTTGTTCTTACTTTATAGATATTAACCTCTTCCCTAATTGTCCCGATAATTCCGCTAGTGTTTATATAATGTTTCTGTAGCCCAGCCCTCGAATTAGATAGTTGTTGGCATCGATTAATCATTTCCAACTGACCACTGGGCATTGGTTCATAAATCATGCTCAAATTGTGAAATTTTGGGCGCGCCGACAGCTTTGAACCACGGCGAGTGGTTTGCACCACTCCGATCCTGTGGTTTCAATAAGGATGTAGATATGTCCTGCGAATGGGGATGTGCATGTGGATGAGGATGAGGACGAGGATCAGGATGGGCACGAACGGAGCGCACGCGTAACCTTTGCACCCCGCCCAAAATCAAAAGGTCTTCGAATGGCCACTGGTCACTGGGCAAACAGACATGCAAAATACAGTATGTAAATTCGCTCGCGGACATCTGGGAAAGTTGTCAACCCGATTTTCCGGCTTATTTCGTTCCAAAGGCGGGGAGAGAAATTATTTTTAGGGAGAGATTTAAGAATAAAAATATTAAAATATATTATTTTAGTCGTTATTTAAATTTTTTAATATTATTTTCAGCCGGGGTAAACACTCCAGAACGCTTTATGTAAAAGATGTTATTGGAATTCTTAAAATTAAAAAATTAATATCAAATAGCAATTCAAACATGCTATATTGTTTGTACTACATTAAGAGTTTCCAAACTTTATGAACAAATAATTTAAAGCTTTAAACACCAATTTGTTTGCATAAATAAAACTAACATAGAAAACAGTACCGTACTTATATTAATTAAGTTTTCATTGAGTTAGGAAATAGGAAACTTTTTTTTTATGATATATTGAAAACAAAATGTATAAATAATAAGATATTCCTTTTGATTTTCCAGTACCTATATTTTTTATTGGCATGAATATGATTAGTAATATCATTAAGAATAATCTATTTTATTTTAATTTATTTTATTTTTTAATTTATGAGTGGTGTTTTAATCCTCCCAAAACTGCCTATCGCAGCCCCTGTCTTCTCACACTCTCCGATTTGTGTGCCGATTCCCACCCGGTAAAGTCCGAGGATTGGACTTTGATGAAATGGTGGACAGGGGTCACTTGCGGTATTAAATATTTTGAAGAGGGTCGTCGCTCGCGCTGCGCAATTTCCAGCTTGATTTATATATATATACATATATAGTTGGTTCGGGGGGTCGAAATCGGGTCGGGGTTTTGTCACGCCCAGAATTTTTTATCAAAAGGGGTTGGTTGAACTGGAGTTGCAGAAGTCGGGAGACACAGGTCAAATCCTTGGTTAATTAATTTGCCAAACGGGATTTGCATTGCCCTTAAAGGCTGCTCCACTGGTGGATTGTTTCTTGCTTTTGATTTGCATTTATTACTGGCCTGTTACCGGCTCTTGTTGTTCCAGGTGGAGTTCACAATTCAATATGAAAATTGTGGGGGGGAAAGGACTTTTTATCGGGTCAGCCAAGCATGCAGTGTACTTCATGTCTT